TGTGTGTGTGTGTGTGTGTGTGTGTGTGTGTGTGTGTGTGTGTGTGTCGGGACCCTCTGTCATTTATTCAGAGTTCCACCAAACTCTGAGCCCTTGGCTCTGCCTCACACAAGGCATCAACCAGAGGAAAGTGTCTAATGTCCTGGACCTCTGTCATGGGACAAATGCCAAGAATCTTTCTATGTTCTCTCAGCCTCCAGCCAAATAAGCCAGTTTAGTCACTTCCTTCTGCATCAGGGAAATGAAGTATCTTCCCTGTGGTTAGAACATGGCCTCTACAACTTAGGTCTAGGACATAGTGGCAATGCATCCACACTGTCACCAATACTCTCCCAACCAAAATGTCCCATCGTAGCCCAGTTTATCTCTGAAGACCCAACAAGTAGGCTAACTGCATGGTGGTGGTGCCTGGACACTGAGGAACAGCTCCAGTGCCACCATGCAGCTCTGTACCTAGAGATTTAGCTCCTCTCCTGTGGGTGGGTAAGCCAGAGTCTTCATCCATGCTCCGGCTTGGGCACCAGAGGATCTGTTAAACCTGATCTTGATAACTGACCTGAGTTCTCAGTTCACACACGGCCTGACTGGGCTTTCCTTGGGAAGCACTTGTTGGGGACGTGGACTAGCATACTGAGAAGTAACACTTGACTCACTCCACCTTCCAGCTTTTCTGTGGAGAACACTGCTTACTAATCCATGATCTGCACCCCTGCTCTCAGCTAGATGGGAGCCCAGAGATTCTTCTTCTGATGGGCCTGGCAAGTCTCTCTTGCTCTGTTGCTACCTAGAAACTCGACTCCCCTGTGACTCCTCTCTACCTTTCCAGAGATAATCAAGAGTACTGCTAGACAGGCTTGCCCCTTCCTCAGTCTCTGACATTGCCGGTCAGAGCATTAGTCAGAACCCTGACTGAGAGGGGCTTTGTCCATAAGTGGTCTTACTTCTGCTTCCCCATTTAATAAGCATGTATAGTTGTAATTAATTTCAACTTACCCACAGGAGTATGCATCTGGCCATCTAACCCAAAAGTAAATTAAACTGAACTCTAATAACCAGACAAATTACAACATAAATATCTTAAATCACACCCTTAGGAATAATTATATCTTCAGCCTTATGAAAATCTATGACTTTATTTACCAACCATCTATCAGGAATCTACTATGGAAAGCCACAAATACAGTCAGGACTATAAAGCAACAACTTCAACTTTCTACTCTTTTTAACCCTTGACTGTAAAAAAAAAAAAAAAAAGAGTTCCAGGGTCGCCCCATCTGTGAAGCAGAATTCTCTCTACAGAGGAAGGATCCAAGCCCAGAATCACGCCACCCATCAGGCATTGTGCTGACTGGGTAGTGATCCACCTATGCAATGCCATGGACTCTCTACCCTTCATCTTGAGATATAAGAATATTTTTTTAATTCCAATTTCGGGTCAGGTGGAGGTTCTGAGTTTGGTGCAGGTGTTGGAAGAATACTGCCCACCTACAACCTGTGTGACTTTGGGAAGTTACCAACATCAGTCTCAATATTTGTAAAATAAAGACACAGTTTCCTTATTTTGAGGTACTACCTGGGGAATGTGCAGGAAAACGAATGTTTCTGTGTCCTTTGGGATTCTTGGCACTGCACAGCAGTCCTTAGGCCTTTAAGGTAGTCAACATTTACAGATATAATTCCATCCTGTCACCTGGATTTCCCCATTGCTTTCAAATGAAGGTAGCATTTGTTCTAGGTAAAGTTGGGCATTCTGAGATCCAAGGAGTCAGAGTGACTCCTGTTGGCTCTGTGTCATGATTGTCAGGTCCCTGCTTACACAGAGCAGCTGCTGGCTGCAGACCCAACCTAAAGGTGCACACTCACCTGTGCTCAGTCAATGAGAATTTATGTGCTGGGATTTGATTCCCCTTCTTGCCATCCATGGGCTTCAGACCCAGACCTGAGATGACAACACCTGTAAGTCTGCTTGGGTTACTCTAGCAAAATTCCATGGCCCAGGCTAGCCTAGCTAAATGCCATGGCCCAGGCTAGCCATGAATCCAGACTACTGTCATTGACCGATTGTACCTCAGCCCTGGAAATCAGAAGTCCAAACTCAAGGTGCCAAAGGGTTGATAAGAACTACAGGCATCTTCCATGTCCTTCCCTTGGTGCATGGATGTGACTGGGGTAGGAGGTGGCATCATCATAGGAATTTGAGCATCTGTTTGTCAATTTTTATAAAAATTTCTGTCAATTTCCTGAGAAACGTAGCTTGGGATCTTATATGAATTCTACTGAATACGTGCATCAATTTTTAATGAATCCTATTTTTAACAACATTAAGTCTCCAATCCATGAACAGTGAGTGAGCCTCTTCACGTTCACTAAAATCTTCTTACATGATCTTGATCTTCAACACCGTGCCTTTGGATTTTATAGCACAAGCTTCACTTCTCTAGCCCAGTGTATTCAAGCATTTTGTTCTTTTTGATATGTTGCTGTCATTCTTTTCCTTTTCTATTGTCAAATTGTTATCAGTCATTTAGAGAAAAGCTAATCACTATTATCATTGCACAGAAGCAAACTGAACTTTGAATGGGACTGATCGTACATCCTTGCTGAACTTTTTACACCTCTAAGCTGTACTCACTTTCACACGTTCTCGATTTTCCACACCACTACATTGACAGTCTCCCTATTGCTTTCTGGAGCTCACAAAAACATCGAGCCTACCAAGATAACCCAGAATCCTCTGTGTTTTAAAGTCAGTTCATTAACAACTTATAGCTGCCCTATCCCCTCACAGCAGAGCAAGATAGGTCTTTGATTGGATGATCAAAGAGATGAGGGTATTTGGAAGACATCTTTAGAAGTCTCCCTATCACAAGAATTACATTTCTATGTAAGATTCTAGACCGCAGAATCTTAATGTCTGCCGCAAAAAAAGTCATCGTTGCTCCCTAAGCCAGTGCTGAGACATGCCGCCTTTGTCCACACGGTTCTTCCCTTGGACTCACTCCAATGTTCCACCCACTTAGAGAAGAAACTTGGCTGTCGTCCCAGATGGAGAAAAATGCAGCAGTAACAATGACTATGAAGATCCTGAGCTCCAGCTGCTAAAGGCATGGCCATCGATGAAAATTCTACCAGCCAGACCTATCCAGGAATCAGAATATGCAGGTACCCTGGGGGCTCTAAGGATGCATGTCCATGAGCAGCATCACATAGTGATTACAGCCTCACTCCCTAGAGCTTAGATTATTGTCTGAGTCCTTAACTGCTGCACTTCAGATGCTGAGACAGGAGGATTCCAAGTTCAAGGCCTGCTTGAGCTGCATGGTGATACCTTGACTCCAATGACAACAAATAATGATAATGATTATATTGTATTCAGTACTCAAAAGCATTGACTGAATATCTGGACTGCAGTGGTCACCATTATAGAATGTATTGAGAGATAAATAAATAACAGAAGAAGGCATAAGAGCATAGCAGAATAAGGAGGTGGGTGGCGTTTGGTGATGAGCTCCAGGGGCAGATGTACTGACTTGTTTCCATTGTTGCACCCAGGAGGCTGAAACAAGAGAATGGCCAAATGTTTGAGACTAGCCAGAGCTATATAATGGGTTCCAGACCAGCCTGAGCCATAGTGTGAGACCCTGTCTGAAAAAAACTGATAGACAGTAGATAGATAGATGATAGATAGATGATAGATAGATAGATAGATAGATAGATAGATAGATAGAGCATTAATCTTCAAGAGCTGGTAGTAATTCTCAGGTGCATAAACAATGAAGGCTAATCAAGGCCATCCTTGCTAGGATTGCTGTGAATCAAAACAAGCAGGTCTACCATGAATCTCAGCCTCTTGCTCTGACAGGTTCCGATGGCATCTTTTGCCTCTGTGAGAGGTTTCATTCTCCTCCATGGTGATCCCTCCGGCCACACTATACACTAGAGAGTGTTTTCTTTCTTCCACAATAGCCCCTTTGGTCTTTGCCCACTCTCACTCTTAAGAACACCATATGATAATATTGTAATAAAATTTGCCTGTCTCTTACCCTCCTCCCTGAACTCCACCCCCCAACCCCAAAGAATTGTTTGCCTGGTACCTAAGCTCTGATGACTCCATGAGTGTGAGGATGTAGGAATACTTTATGAGCTGCAATGTGCCAAATCTAGCCAGCCTCAAGGTAGAAGCTTACCAGCTTTCTTTTTCTGCAGATACACGCTATTTCAAGGATACAATGGAAGCTCCACTTCTATTACCTCCCAAGGCTTCTGTCTCCAAGGAGAGGCAAACCAGGGATGTAGGGATGAAGCAGCAGGAAGAAGTGAGTAAAGGGGACCCTGAGAGCCTGGCATGAGGAGGGCACTACCTAGCTCACAGACATATGCCCCAGGTCTCCTTCCACAATACATTGTAACAGGTTATGAGAGGTCAGGAGAGGCTTGGGGGTGCTGATTTGTATGACTTATGGGATCTTGGGCCTTTGGAGGTATCTAGAAGAAACAAAAATTTAAATTTTCTGAAGACTTACTGTAAGTCAGGCATCAGGCTAAAGAATTTACACCATTTCTAATTATCATTGTACTCTTCAGACCCTGAATTGGAACACAAATTTTTCTGATAATAATATAACATTTTGCCACGATTCTCAGCCCAGCATTGTCAACTGTTAATCTGAGCAGTGAGAAGTCTCATGATCACTGAACCTCTGCAATACTTGTTCAAACCACATAGTACATTCTATGTGCTGGCCTAACAGGGTATCAAGGGAAATCGAATAATTTTATGGAAATATCTTGTAAATGAAAATGTGCTAGGCACATACATGTAGGTTTTTATTTTTAATAATATGTGTTATATATATATATATATATATATGTATGTATATATGTATACCATACTCCATAAAAGCTAGGCAATGTAGGCTCTTTAATCCCAGCACTCAGGAAGCAAAGGCATGTAGATCTCTGAGTTCTGAGTTCAGTACCATCCTGGTCTACAGATTGAGTTTTAGGACAGCTAAGGCTACACAGAGAAACCTTGTCTTAAAAAGCCAAATGATATTGATTTTATATATATCACATATATATGATAAAGAAGACCTACCTCTAGGTCTACATGTCATTGGTGATGATATTCAGACACATTTCAGGTCAGTGTTCCCTATAGAGACCGAATCATACAAGGAATAATATTTGCATTAACATGCCCAGGCTCCTCTCTTCTTACACTGAGTCCATTAGCAAAATAGGTTGCAATGTGGAAGCAAGAGCTCACCAGCATAAGTTGTACAGCTATACAGTTCCCCCTGTAGGATTTTGATTAATGTACTCAACATCTGATAAGAGCATTTTAAAGGTTTAAAGCACATGTAAAAGTCTTGTCAGTGTGTGCCCTTCCAGAAGCTCTGTAGAACCATACCCAACTCAAGGAAGTCTCAACAAAACTGGATCTCACTGGCATGCTCACAGATTTTGTTGAAGAGGGATCTCACTGCTAGATTTTTGTCCCGTGACACCATTCACCAATGACGGGAGCATGCTTCTGCATAGCCCACCAACTCTCCTGGTGACATGTTCACTCTGCTCGTTACACTTGCTGGTTCTCGTGATATTGACCTCATAATAGCCTGTCTCATGCTGGCATACAGATTATCTGTATATAAGCCTTTGTATGCTTACATAAGACCCTGTCTCAGAACCCAACCATGGAAGAATCTGAGTCTCTTACTGTCCACACCTCCGCATTGCCTCAGTTTCTTCTTTCTGACAAGTCCCTTCACAGCAGAACCATGATCCACTCACCGTAAGTCAGCTGAGTGAGTGGGCAGACGACGATGAAGGGTTGCCAGGAGAGAAACTTTCTTATAAATTAAGTAAGGACTTGACCCTGGCTCAGATAGTTTTACTTTAGCCCTCTCTGATGAAGTAAGAAACTTTTTGTGGCAAGTAGATTAGCTTTTTCATTAACAACCTTATTTCCAGGAGCTGCTTCTTATTAGTTTTGAGATAAACTATCTGTCTACTGGATCTTCAATAACCTTTATGGAGGGCTTTTCTTATCTCAGTTCCTTGGGACGATCATAACTATGTTGCTCTAAACTTGTGTTCCACTATTAAGCATTTACAGTATACAAAACACTGTGCTCAACAATGGAAGCATAGAAGTGAGTCAACACCTACAATCTAGTGGAGGACCACATAGTCTAAGGGAGGAGGCAGTGACAGGAGACAATGATCTTGATGTCTAAGAGACGTGTGCAAAGCAGCTGTTCATCCATAGTTCTATTCATTGTAATCAGTAGTTCTCAACAGGGAGATTTTGCCCCCCAGGACATTTGGCTCAGACTAGAGACATTTTTAGTTGTTAAAGTGAAGAGTGAACACTGCTTAAGCATTGTCCAAGGGAAAAACACACACACACACACACACACACACATGAACACGCACGCACACACACACACACACCATCTTCACAAGGAAGCAGGGTTTGGTTTTTTTTTGTCTCAATTTCACAGAAAGGAGCTGAGTGAGTCACTATGCCCTCACAGCTGTCCCATGACAGAAATGAAATGACATTACCTGAGCTGTCACTAAAGGTCACTACTGTGCTGGCCCACTCTGGTCATGTACACTGGTCTCCATTATAATCCAGTGGCATACACTGGCTATTATCTCTGTCATAAAGATGTAAAGCTGAGACCATTAAGACCCTGGGTGCCAAGCTTTCACAGAAGAAAGAGGCAAAGTAGGATTTCAAATCTTAGATTTTATGCCAAATAGCACCCAGGCCACCACAGCCTTCTCTGGTGGCAATCCACAAACTTACAGATATTGAGCAACTGCTGACCATGTGCACACAGCAGTCTTAGAGATCAGTAGGCCCAGGGACACATGCAATTATGCTCAGGACTCTAGCCACTCAGAGCATCTGGACATCTGGTTGTTGCATGATCTAAGTTTAAGCTAATGGTGCCACATTATCTTTTATAGGTGGACAAGCCTACCTCCAAAGATGTCAGAAGCCAACACTTTAAAGGTAAAGTCTCAACAGTTTAAAACCCCGTAGTCTACCTCCCCTGCTCCTATGGTCTGTCCTGCTTGTGGTCACAGGCTCTCTTATACCAGGAGCTCTGTTGAATTCTGCTCTGAGAAATGACTGTTCAATTCTGCAGTCAAGCACGCCTCCTGACTCTTTTACAGCCTTACCTTATTGACTGAGAAATTGATTGTGAAAACTCATATTCTGTTCTACATTATATGAGTGAGGCATTGTTTCAAAAACATATGGATTGCATTCAAATAAGTCATTTCTCTAAGCACATGTCCTGAAAAAAAATTACAAGATATTCCTATCTAATTTTAAAATGTTGGTTAATGAATATGAAAATGGGCTTTACGGCTTGAGGCAAAACAACTCAATTTGAACACAGAAGAACAGGTACAAGCCTGAAAGGAAGCAATCAATTCCACTCATGCTGGAAGCAGAAACTAAGGGCAGCCGGAGAAATTTGGCTGGACAGTATCCATTATCAGTCTCATCATTTTCCCATCTCATCATCTTCTTGTGTCCCCATCGCCTCTTATGATTCCCAGTGAAAAAGATGTCAGTCTTGTGATTTACAATCCCCAATAACAGAAGCCCACCAGCTTCACCATTCATGTGCTTAGTGCTGAATCCCAACGTGTCTTACACACAGGACCTTTAGTGAGAGTGCAGCACTACAAGTCCCAATAGGAGACAGATGGTGAACATAAAGCAAGGTAATCTAAGAAAGTTTACTTACAAAGAACCTGCACAGACGTGTGCTGAGCACAGAGAAAGAACAAAAGAAAGTAGATGCAGGACTGACACCAACAAGGACTACCCTCACCCTAGGCCCAGAGACATGGGGAAGAACTACCAAAAACCACAGGGGCAGAGGCTGGAGGCTGAGGACCTCCAAGGGAGGGATTTGTGTTAGTCAGCTTCCCACCACTACAACAAAAATATGTAAGAAAGACAACTTAGAAGGAGCAGAGGTTGCTTTTGCCCACAGTTTCAGAGATCTTGGGCCACATCTGGTTGACTCTGATCCTTTGGGACTGTGTGAGACAAAGCCCCATGTGGATAGAGTGTGCTAGAGGAAAATCTCATGATGTGAGGATGGTTGAGAAGCAAAGAGAGGAGAAGGGACCAGAGTACCAACATCCCCAAAAAAGACGGGTCCCCAGGGACCTAACTTCCTCCCTTAACTCCTTCTTCCTTCCTAAGATCACCAGAACTTCCCAAAAGTGTCACAGGCTGACAACAAGCCTCTACCCATGAGTCTTTCGTGAACATTTAATATACAAAGGATATAAACCAACTAGAATCAGCAGAGTAAATGCCTAGCCTCCCTCTGCACCCCTGCCTGGATTTCCAGCAAAGTTCACCTGGGGCCACAGTGCTGATGGCAGAATGAAGGAAGAGAAGGATGCTCACAGCAGGAAGCAGGGTGGGCAAAGCAAGGGCATCAGCCTGGGCTCAGCCTCTGCCTGCCATGAGACCTGCAGAAGGTGCCTAACCTTCTTGAAGAGAATGTACCTCTTCAAGACCTAGAGCAGGGAGTCCAAATGCCCGCTCACTTCAGCTGTGGCAGTGTGGCAAACCCAATCACACTTGGGCAGGAAGGGTTCACATACCTCAGGAATACTCAAACACCCCAGACCACAACTCCTCTGCAACCTGCACAGACTCACAGATTCCTGTCTGACTCTATTGGTCTCCCTAATGAGACAAGGAGATGCTGTCTTCTCAATGCTTCTTAGCTCCTTTAAGAACAGCTACTCTGTCCACTTGACTCTACGTGGTCTATCAGCTGATACGCTTTTCATTCTTTAAAAACACTGAGGTGAAGTGTGCAAAGGTCTTTTCACTTCTACTAGATAAAAGGGAGCAGAGTAGAAGCCCCAAGGGCTCACATGCCAGGGCCTGATCATTCAATATGCACAAGTCTTTGGTGACAGTGACATACTCTACTCTTGTAATAAGAAATGAGTCACAGACAAGAAACAGGAGAGTGATCACAATGGCTGCTGTTCACCTCTCGAGACACCTACTGTTGCTTTTTTTATTCTTCTCCAAATCCCACCCTGATATGAGCCTCCCTCTCATTACCTCCTCCCCTTCTCCTGAGACCCCCATGGTTACCAACCCACCATAGCATATCAAGTCTCAGCAAGACTAAGCGCATCCTTTCCCACTGAGGCCAAATGAGGCAGCCCAACTAAGGAAAGGAGACCCAGTGACAGTCAACAGACTCAGAGACAGCCCCTCTCCAATTGTTAGGGGACCAATATGAAAACCGAGCTGCACATCTGCTATAAATATGTAGGGGACCTAGGTCTAGCCCATGCATGCTCTTTGGTTGGTGGTTCGGTCTCTGCAAGCCTCTATGGGCCAAGGTTAGTTGACTCTGTAGTCTTCTTGTGCTGTCTTTGACCCCTCCGGCTCCCTCAATTCTATCCTCCAGTCTACTACAAGTCTCCCTGACTTCTGCCTAATATTTGGCAGTGAGTCTCTGCATCTGTTTCCAACAGCTGCTGGATAAAACCTCTCAGAAGACAATACTGAGACGAACCTAATACTAGATTCCGATCTGCAAGCACAGCAGAATATCATTAATAGTGTCAGGAGTTGGCTCTCTCCCATGGGCTGGGTCTCAAGTTGGGCCAGGCATAGATTGCCCACTCTCTGAACCTCTGCTCCATCTTTATCATTGCATCTTCTTGTAGGCAGGACAAATTTAGGACAAATTTTGTGGGTGGGGTAGTGTCCTCCTCCCTCTAATAAAAGTCTCACCTGGCTGCAGGAGGTGGCCACTTCAGTCTCCATATCCCTAGCTGTTAGGAGTCTCAGCTAGGGTCACTGCCATAGACTCTTGGAAGCCTCCCCTGTCCCAAGTCTCTGGCTTATCCCAGACAATCTCCAGCCCACTGATTTCAGTTCTCTGTTCCAGCCCTCTCAACCTCAACCCCAATTCTCACCACAATGATTCCCATCCTGTTCCCCTCCCCACTGCCTGTCCCAGCCAATTCCCTCTATCCATTCATCTCTGGTGTCTATTTTATTTCCCCTTCTGAGTGAGATTCATGAATCCTCACTTGGTCCTTCCCAGTTACTTAGCTTCGTTGGGTCCATAAATTATAGCATAGTTGTCCTGTACTTAATGACTAACATCTACTTATCAATGAGTACATACCATGTGTGTTTTTCTAGGTCTGAGTTACCTCTCTCAAGATGATGATTTCTAGTTCCATCCATTTGCCTGCAAATTTCGTGGTGTCTTTGTTTTTAATAGCTGAGTGGTATTCCACTGTGTCAGTGTACCACATATTTTTTTTTGTCTGTTCTTCAGTTGAGGGACATCTAGGTTATTTCCAGTTTCTGGCTATTATGAATAAAGAAGCTGTGGGTTTGTTGGTGTCTAATTTGTTGATTTCTTTATATATTTTGAATATTAGTCCTCTGTCAGATGTAGGGTTGGTAAAGGTCTTTTTCTACTCTGTAGTCTTCTGTTTTGCCTTATTGACAGTGTCGGTTGCCTTACAGAAGCTTTTCAGTTTCATGATGTCCCATTTATCAACTGTTGATCTTAGAGCCTGGGCTATGGGTGTCCTGTTCAGGAAGTTTTTTCCTGTGCTAATATCTGCAAGGCAGTGCCCCTCTTTCTCTTCTATTAGACTTAATGTATGCAGATTATGTTGAGGTTTTTGATACACTTGGACTTGAGTTTTGTGCAGCATGATAAATATGGATATAGTTTCATTATTCTACATGCAGACATCCAGTTAGACCAGCACCATATGTTGAAGATGCTTTCTTTTTTCCACTATATGGTTTTGGCTTCTTTGTCAAAAATCAAGTGCCCATAGGTATATGGGTTTATTTCTAGGTCTTCAGTTCTATTCCATTAATCAACTTGTCTGTTTTTATGCCAATACAATGTGGGTTTTGTTACTATTGCTCTGTAGAAGAGCTTTAAATCAAGGATGGTGATTCCTCCAAAAGTTCTTTTGTTGTACAGGATTCTTTTAGCTCTCCTGTGGTTTTTGTTTTTCCATGTGAAGTTGAGAATTGTTCTCTCAAGGCCTGTAAAGAATTGTGTTGGAATTTTGATGGGAATTGCATTGAATGGAATCTATTGGTTGCTTTTGGAAAGATAGCCATTTTTACTATGTTAATCCTACCAGTTCATGGGCATGGGAGATCCTTCCAATCTTCCTCAATTTCTTTCTTCAGAGACTTGAAGTTCTTGTCATACAGGTTTTTCACTTGCTTGGTTAGAGTTACACCAAGTATTTTACATAATTGGCGGCTATCGTGAGGGTGTTGTTTCCCTAATTCCTTTCCTAGCCCATTTATTGCTGAAGGTGTTTATCAGCTGAAAGCCTTCTCTGGTAGAATTTTTGAGGTCATTTATGTATACTATAATATCATCTGTGACTAGTGATACTTTGACTTCTTCCTTTCAATTTGTATCCCCTTGGTCTCTTATTTGTCTTATTGCACTAACTAAGACTTCAAGTACTATATTGAAGAGATAGAGTATGGACAGCTTGTTTTGTCCTTAATTTTAGTGGAATTGCTTTAAGTTCATCACCATTTAATTTCACATTGCTTATTGGCTTGCTGTATATTGCTTTTATTGTGTTAAGTATGTGCCTTGTACCCCTGATCTCGCCAAGACTTTTAATATGAAGGGGTGTTGTGCTTTGTCAAAATCTTTTGCAGCATCTGATGAGATTGTCATGTGGAGCTTTTTCTTCCAGTTTTGTTTTTATGGTGGATTACATTGATGGATTTTCTTATATTGAACCACCCTTACATCCCTGGAATGAAGCCTACTTGATCATGGTGGATGATCTCTTTGATGTATTCTTGGATTTAATTTGAGAGTATTTTATTGAGCATTTTTTCATCAATGTTCATGAGACAAATTGGTCTGAAGTTCTCTTTCTATGTTGAGTCATTATGTGATTTAGGTATCAAGGTGATTGTGAACTCATAGAATGAGT